TACGGAACCTCTCCTTCACACGGCGAGGGTGAATTAGTCTGTCACTGAAGCTGCTCTCCAGAGCAGAGAGAGTGTCCTGCAGGGGGTGACAGTCATGGTCCAGCATAGATGTTAGTTTGTCCAGGACCCTGCTGTCCCCAACCTGCTGCACTGTGTCCGGGGCAGTGTTGCCAACTCCTCAGTAAGGAAGGTAGCTATTGGCTGTCCCAAAAGTCGCTAGAAGTCGCTAAATGACGTCATCGCCTAATTTGCATAATTGGCAATTTGCAAATAACTGTAACGACGCTGTAGGAGAGAGGAATAACGTCGTGGGAAAGACAAAAGTGAGTAAAAAACACCCTAAATATGTTTAGAACTACAAATGTACAAAAATAATTTCAACATTAACAACATTTAATGAATTTAATGCTTTGTCTAGATCTGTCGCTAGTCGCTTTTTTGAAAAAAAGTTGCTATAGGGTCTGAAAAGTCGCTAAATCTAGCGACAAAGTCGCTAAGTTGGCAACACTGTGTCCGGGGAACAGCCCAGGACTGAGCTGGACGTCCTGATGACCTTGTCCAGCTTCTTCCTGTCCCTCTCTGTGATGCTGCTGCTCCAGCAGACCACACCGTACAAGAGGCTGATGCCACCACAGAGTCATAGAAGGTCTCACTTGTGTGATGTTTTGTATCTTGGATCTTAATAGGTCTTAATGTTTTTTTTAATGTAGATTTTAATGTTTATGATTTATTCCTGATGTGAAATGGGTTGTGAGGTGCTTTGTGTTGCCTTGTGTAGGAAAGGCACTCTACAAATGAGAGTTTATTGATTGATTGATAAATATTAGTGGCACGCAAAGCCGCTGCTTTTAGTGCAGTTTTGGCCCCATTAATTACATGGCTGCTCAGTAACATTCCCAGTGCAATATCATCAGTCACAACCAGAACGTAGAACATCTAAAAATACAAAAGTGGCTACATCCACACTAAGTTAAAAACGCGTAGAGTCAGCTCAATAAATGGTTGCGTCCACATGAATGATGCCAAAACGCCTGAAAACGCTGTTAAGGCAAGGCAAGTTTGTTTGTATAGCAATATTTCATACACAAGGCTACTCAAAGTGCTGAACAAAATAAGATAGCATTAAAATCATAAATAATCACAGTACATTAACAAGAAAGATAAATATAAAATCCCTCAGTTGAATGCACAGCTAAACAGAACGGTTTTTAACCTGGTTTTAAAAATTGTCAGAGAGGAGGCCTGTCTCACATCTTCAGGAAGATTGTTCCAGATTTTAGCAGCATGAATCTGAAAAGCAGCCTCCCCATGTTTAGTTCTGACTCTGGGCACTAACAGGAGTCCAGTCCCTGTGCTCCTCAGAGTCCGGGCTGGTTCATATGGGACTAACATGTCACTAATATATTTTGGTGTGAGGCCATGGAGAGACTTGTACACAAGCAGAGCTGTTTTAAAGTCTATTCTCTGAGCCACAGGAAGCCAGTGCAGAGACATGAGAACTGGACTAATGTGGTCGTACTTCCTGGTTCTAGTCAGGACTCGAGCTGCTGCATTTTGAATGTACTGCAGCTGTTTTAAGCCTAGCGTACATCGACATAGAAACTGGGAACAACTAGTTGCAAGGCGGCTTTTGGCAACTGAGAGGAGATGGTGGGAGATGATCAGTTGCCGAAATCGGTCGATGTGCGCGCTCTTACAACTGGAGATGATCAGTCGGTCTCCAGTTTCAGTCAGTTGCCCGTGTTCTACTTTTCGGCAACTAGTTGTCCTCAGTTTCGGAGATATGACCCGATGTGCGCGCTCCATGCGCCGCTCTGACAACGTGTGTGTATTGCGTGTATTGCGAGCCCGCAACAGTTTATGTCAGAAAACACACTGTAGTTGAGGCCAGTTGCTGTCGATGTACGCGCTGTTATTCCCGAGACTGGTCTGCTGCTGGGAGTTGCCCGTTTTCGTCAGATTGTCGATGTGTGCGGGGCAGCAACTCATATGCGACGGATATAATCAGTTGCCAGTCCGATGTACGCTAAGCTTTACAGCCTGTTTGGACAGACCTGTGAGCAGGCCAACCTACTGGAGACAAATGCATGGATTTTAATTTCCAAGTCTGCTTAAGACACTATGTTTTTGATCCTGGAAATGTTTTTTAGGTGGTAAAAAGCTGCTGATGTTACTGATTTAATGTGGCTATTAAAATTTAAGTCTGAGTCCAGTATTACCCCTAGATTTCTGACCTTGTTTGAAGGTTTTAGGGAGAGAGACTGGAGGTGACAGATGACACTCTTTCTTTGTTTCTGGGGACCAAAGACAATCATTTCAGTTTTGTCTGCGTTTAGCTGAAGGAAGTTGTTTTGCATCCACTCACTGATCTGTTGGATACAGTGGGGGAGGGTCCCAGCTCAAAAGTGGCCAAAATGACGTGCGCTGACATGCTTGCAATACCATCCCGGGCCAATGGGGGTGGACCCAGAAGAAGAATTAGCCAATGCTAACATATAGCATTGGCAGACCTCTCGAAAACGTCTTTAAAGGATGGACCAAAAGTTGGCTCTTGGCCCAAAGTTCCGTTGCACATGTGTGTCAATGCTGAGGGGGGTGAATTGTTTTGGACCACTCTAGTTTACTTGCTGTGAATTTTTTAAATCTCTCGTTCAAATGAATGGAGCTGCGCTGGCCGCCGCATGCGCAGAAGCGTTTTTTCACAATTTTCTTGTGGGCGGGAACACTCGCGGCCATTTTGGATAGCTCCAGTAGAGCACAATTTTTGGCCCATTAGTTAGAACGACGGAGATAGGCGTGACTCTGTCCGTTAATATATACAGTCTATGGTTGGATACAGAGAAGGAGTGAGTCCACTGGACCATGTTCTCCTGCAGTCAGTGAGACATACTGTAGATCTGAAAGGCGTCTGCATAGTTATGATTGCATACTTCGTTTCAGCGTATTAACTGACCTAACGGCAGCATGTAGAGATTGAACAGAAGAGGTCCCAGGATTGGAGAACAGGAGTGTGTCCACTGGTCCATGTTCTCCTGCAGTCTGTGAAACATACTGTAGATCTGAGTGTCGTCTGCACAGTTATGATTGGATACTTCGTTTCAGCGTATAAACTGACCTAACGGCAGCATGTAGAGATTGAACAGAAGGGGTCCCAGGATTGGAGAACAGGAGTGTGGAGGATGCCATCTCCTTTGCTCTGAACTCTGTCTACTGTCACTTGGACACTAGTAAATCTGTCGCGAGAATGCTTTTCATCGATTATAGCTCTGCTTTTAACTGCCTTGTCCCAGGTAAACTGATTGAAAAGCTCATGTCTCTCGGTTTAAGTGTTGCCATGTGTAAATGGATTTTTAGCTTTTTAACTAACAGATCTCAGAGAGTGAAAATCAATGACTGTTTTTCTGATGTTGTGTCTGTGAGCACTGGTTCTCCTCAGGAATGTATTTTGAGTCCTTTGCTTTTTACTTTGTACACTCACGATTGTGTGTCCTCCTCTGACTCGAACCTGATCATCAAATATGCTGACGACACCACCATCATCGGTCTCATCAGTGACAACGATGAATCCTCTTATAGAGCAGAGATACAAAATGTGGTTCAGTGGAGTAAAACTAACAACCTCCAGTTGAACGCATCGAAAACATGTGAACTGGTCTACGACTTCAGTCGCAATAGTTCTCATTTGCCTGTCGTAATCGACAACTCCCAGGTGCAGATCGTAGAGGAGTGCAAGTTTCTGGGTTTAACTCTGTCTAACCTGAAATGGGTTAAAAACACTGACCGAGTCGTTAAGAAAGCTCGTCAGCGTCTCTACTTTCTGCGTAAACTTAGAGAATTTACCACTAACTCTAAGATTCTGCTTAACTTTTATCGCTGCACCATTGAGAGTTTACTTGTTGGTTCTGTGTCTGTGTGGTTTGGAAACATCACAGATAAAGAAAAGAGAGCTTTAAACAAGGTACTCCGCTCTGCAAAGAGGACCGTGGGCTGTGAGCTTCCTGTTCTGGAGGTTCTTTATAAATCCAGACTTTTAAACAAAGCTCTTAGGATTGTTAATGACTCTTCTGGCCACCCTGGAAAAGCCATGTTCCAGCTTCTTCCCTCTGGCAGAAGATATCGCTCTCTGAGATGCAGGACATCTCGTTACGCTAACAGTTTTTATCCACAAGCTGTTATCAGTTTGAACAGAGCACTTTGATGATTTGCACTTGTTTTGAAACTGTTTTAGTCGATCGATTTCACAGTGACATTTGTTTACTGTTTTATTTCTGTCTTTTTAACGTTGTTTTATGTCTGTATTTGTCTGTGCACACTGGAGACTTTTTGCTAATGTATTCCAATGTGGTGTTTTTACTGCAAATGGCAAATAAACTGAATCTGAGCGTATTAACTGACCTAACGGCAGCATGTAGAGATTGAACAGAAGAGGTCCCAGGATTGACCCCTGTGGTACTCCACAGGTCAGGGCCATATGATCTGAGACACTATTTCCAATCTCCACAAAGTACTTCCTGTCCTCAAGGTAAGTCCTAAACCAACTTAGGGCGGTGTCAGCGACACCAACCCAGTCCTCTAGTCTCTGTAAGAGGATCTCATGGTCGACAGTGTCAAAATCTGCACTCAGATCTTCAGCGATGCCAGGCCTGTTGGTGGCGCTGTGACACAATGGGATCACTCCCAGGCTTCTGATGAGGGATTCAAAGGGCATACTCACTTTGAAAAAAGATGTTTCAGAGTATGTTTTATTTTTCTGTAATAGCGTTAGCGTTAGCATAGCATTAATCAGCCTGTAGAAAAGGTAAACACTGAATGGCATACATGTACACAGGGTTTTGAAATCTTTCCACTCATGAAATGTGTGTTTCTCAGATCCCCAAACTGCAAACTTCATATTCATTAATTCATTTGCCTTTGTGCAGTGTTCCTTGTGACCTATGAACCAGGCGAACAAATTTGAACGCACACTTATCCAAATCATGTCGGTGCTGGGTTTGTGGTACTTACGTGACATCATCCGCTATCTTTCCAGTGTCAGGATCGATTGCAGTGTACGTGGTGATGACATCGTCCAGGTTTTTGTCAGGATCCTCCGAAATTGGCACGTCTTTGGTCCCCGGCACAAACTCTGATCCCTCTGGCAAATTGTTCACTGCAATGTGGATGGGGTAACTCGGTCTCTTTTTCTTAGGTTTTTTTTTCTTAGGCCTTGGTTTCTTGCCAGGTCCCTGTGGTCCCAAATGGCCATCAGGGTTGAGTCCACCCCCAATGCCTACTCCGATACCTGGTCCTCCCCCTGGCCCAAGACTTAGGTCAGGCTTAAGTCCTGCATTTATCCCCACGCCGACATCAGGTCCTCCCCCCAAATTGGCATCCAAGTCTGCGTCCAAGTCTACGTCCAAGTCTGCGTCCAAGTCTGCGTCCATGTCAATGCCCAAGCCAGCGCCCAAGCCAGCGTTCATATTGACCCCCATGCCCATATCCATGTCGAGTCCGCCCCCTGCGACTCCCCCTCCTACCCCCTCCCCCACCTGAACGTCCACGTCCATCACCACCGCACTTCCCACCACAAATGGAGCCACATTCTCGATCAGCAGGTCCAAATCCAAGGTCTGAACCTCTTCGAAATCTATAGGCTGGAGATCGAAGGAGGCAAGAGGTAAAATGAGAACATCACATTTCACACACACACATATATATATATATATATATATATATGAATTATGGACGATCCAGAAAAACTGGAAGGATTGTTTTATGATGCAGACATAACTAAAAAAAACCTAAAATAACTAAATATGCTCATCCTCATTTACTTTGCACACAGGGTTTAACACTCGGATCTATAAATATACACTCTTTTTGCTCTCTGATTGTATAATATACCCGAAAATAATCTTAAACATGTAATGTCTTTTTTAATTTTAATTTTTATTAAACTTAATTTCATGGTGTGGATTTAGTTGACCTATTACCTTGGGACACATAAAAGCGTAGACAATTTAAAATAATAATAATAATGAACGGACCATTTAAAGCTAACTGCTAGCTGTTTGTTTGTTTTTCTTCCGTTCTCTTAGAAATTTAAGTTGTTTTTCTTTAAAGAGGGTCTGGCTTTAAATAAGTGTTTCACTTCATAAAACCCTTTCAGTCAGTGGCTGACTGAAATAAACAACTACTACTACAAACGAATGTTATTTTGGAGTAAAGTCCTGGATATGAAATGCTTGAGATGTATTTGAATATTCTGAGATTCTTGTGTAGCTGGCGTAAAATCAACTAGTGTAATCAAGTGTAAAAAACGTTTGTTTATTATTAATGTAAGCATAACGAACCTTGATAAGTTTCAGGATTCCTTCGTTGGTTACATTGTCAGTTTCTATGGAAAAGATGTTGTCCTCGTTGCCTTTAGTGATAGTGAAAACCGCGCGCCAGTTGTCGGTGGGCTCCAGGTCCTTGTCATGAGTTTTGATCCTCATCACCACCACATCATAAATGTTCTCGTCCACTGAGCCTGCGTACTGCAAACACAACACAGACGTTTGCTTTCCTCAGAGACAATCCTAATCCACATTACTTGTGGTGTTATAATCCCAGCGTGTTGGTCCTTCTTATTAACCTTTGGCAATAATATAAAAATATATATAATATAATAAAAAAATATAAAAACATATATAATATAATTTAAAAAATAACTGTTTATGCATGTATAGATATGTATTAGCACGAGATATTAGATATGTCTGCATTTCTTTGTGGACATCAATTGAAGTTTAGTTTAAATAGATTTTGGATTGATTATGTTTATTTTGCATAGTCAAACCATCAGTGTGACATCAAAGACATCCCTTTTGTCTCTATTCTTACATCTGATTAGAACAAATTTGTGTATATATAATATCTTATGCGTACATTCCCAGCGGGAAGTTGGATCTTCCGAGTGTCTGGCGTTGTTTGAGAGTTGTATTACTGCCACCAGTTGATCCCCACCCACAAGAATATGTTGTTTACAAACTTTGAAGGGGTTTTTAGGCTTATCCAGACTGCAGAAATCTAATCTTTACATCATATGTAAAATGTCTATATCACCACCCACCGCATCCTTCTCTAGAGTGGGGACGTTGTCGTTGATGTCCGAGATGTGGACCTCCACGGTGCCGGTGCCCGTGAGACACCCTGGACCTCCGGCCATGTCTTTGCCCTCGATCACCAGCTTGTAAAAGTCGTGCATCTGAGAAAAGGGGGACAGCGTTTATTTACTATATATACATTCCTTTGTTTATAGAAAACTTGTGTACATTTTGTTGTCATGTGGCCTCCTTCGCTTATATTTTATACATACTCGTGCAAATATAAAAACATAAATATACAATCAAGCACCAGTATTTGTCAAAGTTTCACCATGTGTTGGTATATTTACAAGTTCTATATATATTTACAAATATGATACGTAAGGAGGCATTGTTTTTCCTGGTTTGGCCCAATAGATCAGTTTCAGACTCACATTCTGACCAGAATCATGAGGATTGCGAGAAATCAGGCAATTGAAATATGGCAATTTTATCGAGTCAGCAAAAAGTGTCCTACCTCTCTGTCCAGTGTGCGCTCTTTCACTTTCAGCTCTCCCGTGTTGGCATCGATGGTGAACATGTGCTCCCCCGCGGGCTCCTGGCTCACGATGGAGTAATGCAGCTTTGAGTTTATGGTGTTGGGGTCATCATCATCTTTTCCCTGGATCGTCATGACCACCGTCCCTGTGGAACACACACATCTCTCACTTTTTTCAGCTTTAGTTAGGTTTGCTCTATTATTTAAATTAGGTGGAATTTTTTTAAACAACATCTAAGAATGCAACAAAAAAAGAAAATAACTCATATCATAAATGTAAAATTTTTTTCGAACATGTTATGATACAATATAGTCAAGTTTGGTTAAGGTGAAAAAATATAAGGTTTATGGGAGGATTTTTTCTTCATCTGGGTGGATCAGAAAATCTTTTGGTGCTCCTAATTGTCAAACATTCTGGTGATATTCAAGATGCTTCAATTGGTGTTCCCCAGGCCAGTTCTTTCCTAAAATTTAGGAAAATCCTCCTATTTAGCTTTAATTAATGAAGTCTTGAAGTCTATGCAAAATAAATTATAATAAACAATAATCAAGAACAAGCCTTGATATACAGTATGTAAAGCCGACACCAGTGCTGGCTAAGTTACTCATGCACACACCAGACAAGGCAATTCAAAGTGTCTGGCCCAAAGACACAACCACAATTAGTTTGCATTGTACATCAGTCCCACTGTGACCCCCTAAAGAAGTCTCCCATCTGAGCACTAATCAGGCCCGAACTTGTTCAGCATTGGACAATGATAAACATTTAGCTGCTTAAATGAATTTACCCGGTGCACTTGATTCTGGAACGCTTCCTGTTTGCAGCTCAAAGTACGGAGCGTTGTCGTTTTCATCCAGAACTATGACTGTGAGTGGAATGTCGTCCTCTGCCTTGGAGCCGTTCAAAAACTTAGCCAGTCCTGTGAGCTGCAACACAAACCCGCGACATCACAGCATTCAGAATGATTGTGGAGAAAGAAATATCAGGTCACAAACTATGAAATAAAAATATATATATCAAGAGCAAATCATGCACTCCATGTGTTCATATGGAACAAATATGAACACATGGACTGTGGTGATGATCCAGGGCACTCTACATTCTAACATGTATGGTCATTTATCAACATTCATGGATATTGATCTCTCCATATGGACCAATACATGTGTGTTCTATATTTTTCGCGTCTTAACTGTTGATTCTCTGATCTGTGTTGACGATTTCAATGGTTTTGTTGTCCTCTAAGATGACTTCTGTTGTGATTTAGGGCTAAACAAGAATACATTGAATTGAATGTATCTATTGGCACAACCATTGATAGTTCCCTTGCTGTGAGGCCTACAACATACATATAATGTAATAATGATCAAAAAACACACACTCACGTTGTAGGATGGGGTCTTCTCTCGGTCCAGCACACCTCTGATCGTCACATAGCCCGTGTCGTGGTCGACCACAAACAAATTGTACGGAGGTTTGTCGGCGCCCGCTCCAGTCAGGAAGTATTCCACTTTTTGGCCTCTGTCCCTGTCAGAGCGGATCTGAAAGGAAAAGAGGCCACATGTTTGTCAGTAAAAACTTTTCCAGCTATTAATCACATATACGCAGGGGGGCGCAGCACTGCTGTCGACCCTGGTTTTCACCTGTTTCGGTGTTTTTGGTCGTATGAGTGATCATAAGTGCACTACTTTTTATGTACAATGAAGTTAAACATTGGCTTTCTGCTGTGGCTCGCGCTGTGCCTTCTCATCCTTTGGAAAGTAAAAGGATTCCACGCTGGAAGATGTGGCGTCCTCACATACACACGTGAACAGCTGCTGTCACTCAGGACTCAAGCTGCATTCGGAGAAATCTCAAGTGGGGTTTTGGATAACCACCCCGAGTTGAAACGGACGAAAAGAAGAAAATATAAGGCTAAAAAGCGAGGATCTAGAGGTGGAGTACGGGAGAGAGCGAGGAGACGTGGCAGCAGGCATCCCTTACCGGTAATCACACTCTCCAACGTACGCTCCATTAACAACAAAATCGATGAACTGTCAGCAAAAGTCAAATATGACAGAGACTTTAGACAAAGCAATCTTATTTGCCTAACAGAGAGCTGGCTAAAGGAGGGAATGCCAGACCCTGCTTTGCCGGGATACTTGCTTATACGAGCGGATAGAGACAATGTTAAATCACGTAAATCTATCGGGGGCGGCTTGTGCATGTTTGTTGACAAGCGTTGGGCTACGCAGTATACGGTGCGGGAGAAAGTCTTGCTAGTCACCTGCCCACAGCCCAGCAATACGTGGACTGCCCTACGCGCCAAACGCGCACCTTGGATAGGTGCTATGGGAATATACCGGACGCTTACAAATCCTTTTGTCGGCCCGCTTTGGGGAGGTCCGATCATTATGTTATCCACCTGTTCCCGAAATACAGGGCACAACTGAAACAGGAAAGAGCAGTAATAAAGGATGTGCGCATATGGACAGAGGACAGTGCTGAGGCTTTAAGGGATGGCCTAGAACAAACGGACTGGCAGATCTTTTTTGACTCTTGTGACAATGTAAATGATCTCATAGATACCATTACATTTTATTTGACCTTCTGTGAAAGTAATGTCCTTTGCACAAAAACTGTTAAGATTTATCCCAACACCAAAGCTTGGATGACAAGTGAGTTGAAGGTTTGCATTAATGAAAAGAAGGTAGCCTTCCTTAATGGTAATTCAGACCTTGTCAGAGAAAAGAGATCAGAATTAAGATGTCAGATGAACAAAGCAAAAATAGAATATAGAAAGAAGGTGGAGAGGAATTTCTGCTCAGGTAACATTAGGACTGCATGGGAGGGCTTAAACCAAATCATGGGCAGGGAGACAAAGAACAAACGCACTGCGCTCTCTTCTTCTTCGGTAACGGTTAATGACTTGAATGTATTCTACAGTAGGTTTGATAAGACTGATTTTAGCTCAGATTGTGATTTTATTTGCGATTCGATCCCAGAATATGACCATATTGTTCTTACTGAACAAGAAGTGGCTGCTAGCTTAGCCCAGATAAAACCAAGGAAAGCCACCGGGCCAGATGGCCTCTCAGGGAGACTCCTGAAAAGCTGTGTGCATCAATTGAAAGGTGTTTTTACTGTGATTTTTAATGTCCTTCTCCAGACACACACCTGCCCTGAGTCCTGGAAGCGTACAAATATTGTGCCTGTCCCTAAGAACGCTGGAGCATCTGTACTGAATGATTATCGGCCTATTGCACTGACCTCCATCTTGTGTAAAACCATGGAGAGAACTGTAAGCAAATACATCATGTCCTCTGTATCACACTGTTTGGACAACTTACAGTTTGCATACAAAAGTTTGAGAAGCACAGAGGACGCAGCCATCACTCTGTTTAACACTGTAGCCGAACATCTACAGGCCTCTGACCACTATGCTAGAATTCTCTTTGTGGATTTCACATCAGCTTTTAACTCGATGCAGGTACATATTTTATTGAGTCGACTTATGGACCTGGGTGTTAATGGAGGTATAATCAAATGGGTCAGAGACTTTTTATCTAATCGTCCTCAAAGAGTAGTACTTGGTTCTGATATCTCAGAAGTGACTGTCTTAAATACAGGTGCGCCTCAAGGGACAATTCTGTCTCCTTTGCTTTTTTCTATTTATACTAATGCATTTCAAGTTCATGAGGAATCTTTTAAACTTTTTAAATATGCCAATGATATGGCTCTTGTTGCCTTACTACAGAAAGGGAACACTGTTTTGGAGAGTCTCTATTTTAATCATTTGTCCATGTTACAGCAGTGGTGTGTGGACAGCTTTTTAGAAATCAATGTTTTGAAAACAAAAGAGCTCATTGTGCACATTGATAAAGAGACATTGATAGAAGTGAAGATTCATGGTGCCAATGTTGAGATGGTCGATGACTTCAAATACCTTGGCACATACATAGATGGGAGACTTACCTTTTCTACGAACACAGACTTCATTTTTAAGAAATGCTCACAGCGACTGTATCTGCTTCACAGACTGAATCATTTTGGTGTGAGTCGTTCTATCCTTGAGACGGTCTACAAGAGCCTGGTGGAGAGCATCCTCACCTTTAACATGCTGATGTGGTTTGGCAACCTCAGCATGAAGAACCAAAACAAACTCCAAAGGATCGTGAACCAGAGCTCGAAGATCATTGGGCAGCCACAAAGATCTCTCCAGTGTTTGTTTGAGGAGCGCTTGGGAAAGAAGGCTGAGCTCATCATTAAAGATGCTTCCCATCCGCTAAACCCAAAGTTTGAACTTCTGCCGTCAGGACGGAGATATCGAGTGATATCAGCCAAGAAAAACATTTTTAAAAACTCCTTTGTGCCCAGAGCAGTGAAAGCGGTAAACACTCTTAAGCTTTGAGCAGTCCTGAGGTTGACTCTTGTCCTTAGGCCGGAGGTGGCCTTGTTGGTTTGTTCTTCCAATTGTTCTGTGAATGTAGTGCCACATGATATTGTGCTGGATGTGTGTCTTTTATGTATTTTAAGGTGATAACCAAAGGCAATTTTCCACCTTGGTGGACAATAAAGTTTTCTTATTCTTATTCTTATTAAACGAAACAAAAAAGTGAATGTATTCTTAATCAAAATGGAAATGAAGTCATTTAAGGTTTTCAAGCAGATTTTCCATCCAGGGAGCCACATGGGTCTTTCATTTGGATTTCAAGTCTATGGAATATATTTATAATAACAGTTCTAAATTTTGAGTGGATGGATAGATCAATATTACTCCCCGCGCGAAATTGTTTCATTCATTCTTGCCTCTGTTTACATACCGCCATGCGCGGACGCGCGCGAGGCTCAGCGCGCACTCGCAGAGCAAGTGTGTATGGAACGCTTATACCCGGACTCTCTGATTATTATCCTGGGGGATTTTAATAAGGGAAACTTGAGCCAGGAATTACCCAAATACAGACAGTTTATCAAATGCCCGACCAGAGAGGAGAACACTCTGGATCACTGTTACACCACCGTGCGCGGAGCTTTTCGCGCTGTTCCCAAGCCAGCCCTCGGCTTCTCAGATCACTCCATGATACATCTGGTTCCTGCTTACAGACAGAGACTAAAGCTCTCGAAACCTGCAATGAGGAGCTCCAAAGTGTGGTCTGATGAAGCTGTGGAAGAGCTGCGCGCATGCATGGAATCTACAGACTGGGACCTTTTCAGAGCTGCCACAGATAGTTTGGATGAATACACGGACACTGTGACGTCATACATTCACTTCTGTGAGGATAGCATCATTCCAACAAGGACCAGGGTCATCTATAACAACGACAAACCCTGGTTCACTGCTAAACTCCGGCAGCTCAGGAAAGCAAAGGAGTCTGCTTTCAGGGAGGGGGACCGCAGCGGCTACAAAGCAGCTAAATATCAGTTCAGGAAAGAACTGAAAGCAGCCAAGTCCCGGCACAGAGAACGACTACAGGAGCAGTTTGGTAACAACGATACTGCTTCTGTCTGGAGGGGCCTACGGGAGATCACCAACTACAAACCCAAAGCCCCCCCCTGTGCTGACGACCACAAGCTAGCTGACGATCTGAACTTATTTTTCAGTCGCTTTGATGCTGCCCCTGACACCTCTCCCTCCCCACCCCCCACTATTCTAACAACCCACCCATCAGCCCTGCCCCCAGCCTAACAATAGCCTCTAAAAAGATTAAACAACTCTTCCTGAGGCTGCACCCCCGCAAAGCTCCTGGCCCAGACCACGTGTCTCCGGCCACTCTGAGACACTGCGCCAGTGAGCTTACTCCTGTGTTCACGGACATTTTCAAACCTCTCTGCAGTCCTGCCATGTCCCGGCCTGCTTCAAATCCTCCATCATTGTCCCCGTCCCGAAGAAGCCCAGGATCACAGGACTCAACGACTACAGACCTGTAGCACTTACGTCTGTCGTCATGAAGTCATTTGAACGCCTGGTTCTCTCCCATCTCAAGTCCCTCACCTCCCCCCTCCTGGACCCCCTGCAGTTCGCCTACAGAGCCAACAGATCTGTAGACGACGCCATTAACCTGGCCCTCCACCACATCCTACAGCACCTGGACTCCCCGGGGACCTACGCCAGGGTCCTGTTCGTGGACTTCAGCTCTGCCTTCAACACAATCCTGCCATCCCTGCTCCAGGACAAGCTCTCCCAGCTCAACGTGCCCGATTCCACCTGCAGGTGGATCACTGACTTCCTGACGGACAGGAAGCAGCGAGTGCGTCTGGGGAAGAATGTCTCGGACTCTCGGATTATAAATACAGGAGCCCCACAGGGCTGTGTTCTTTCTCCCCTGCTCTTCTCCCTGTACACCAACCATTGCACCTCCAGCCACGACTCCGTGAAGCTGATCAAGTTCGCGGACGACACCACCCTCATTGGACTCATCTCCAACAACGATGAGTCCGCCTACAGGAGGGAGGTGGACCGGCTGGTGTCCTGGTGCAGTGGTAACAACCTGGAGCTGAACGCCCAGAAGACAGTGGAGATGATTGTGGACTTCAGGAAGAGCACTGTCCCCCCACCCCCACC